GAACAGGATAGGCGGATTCCTAGGTATGCGCATCTCTTTTGGCCGCGTTGCACATGCGAGCTGGGTATCTGATTCCCCGACGGAAGTCCCGTTCTTGCTCAATAACGCAGACGATCTGCCGGGAATAATGATTGTTTCACGGGCAACGGATTTGTACGTACAATACAACAGACGGTTTCTCGTCCTACGAAGCATCCCGGCCGTGTACAACGCTAGAGCGTTCGTTAAAATTAATCTCCCAGGTGAAGAACGGTAACACACACTCATTTCCTCCGCGATGGAAATCGTTTTCATTTAAAGGACTTCGGCGCGAGGAAATGGAAATGATTTTTATCACACCGGCAAGCCACGTCCCGCTATACCGCTAAGCAGCTAATGCTAAACCTCGGCGGATGTGAATAAATTCTGCCGAGTACGCGTCTATCGGATCGCTATGTATATTAGAACGATCAGTGATAAAGAGCGACATGGATTCTTAATTAGGAGTTAATCGTCAGTTACATTGCAGGTGGAATCCGTTACATTCGCGTCTTACACCTGTGTAATCGCATATCTCCGATGTGTGAGAAAGATGAGGAAATTGCACAATCATATTACGAGAATTGAAGGAGATGGAAGAATGTGAGTAAAAATTGAATAACGGGTGGGAAACATGCGTATGCATTATTTCACGTTAAGAGACAAGAGATAAGTATATGATATCTAATGATCTCGTTGATTATAATCAAAATATAAAATTAAAAGTATAAAAATTATTAATATAAATACGTTTTTTAATAAAGAAAGATATACATTAGGCATTCTTTCTATATCTATTTTCTCTCTACGAATAAATCAGCATTTTCCGTCGCAAATAAAACAATCGTTTATCGATATATTATGACAATTAATATACATACGTCGGCACAACACGTGTAAGATTTGTGTGTCACTCGGAATGAAACACTCGGAGTAAAATGATAACGATGATATCTGTAAACATGTAATAAAAAGGAACATCGAACTTTGACGCCAATGTGTATTTGCGTCAAGGATAGTTCATCAAGATCAATTCTAGATTACAAAGGAATGTTTCTGTCGGCAATCACCTGCCCCATGTGCGCAGTTATATCCGACGACAGGTATTGCACCTGTAATACACCTGCATCCGATCGCCCGATTCGGAAGGAATTTATCGCTTCGTGCCGATTATCGGAAGTTTATCTGCGTTGCCGGGAATTGCAATGCAAGATTTATTATCAATTGGGCCGTTAAGATAATCAATTACATTTTTAATAAAATTTTTAATATCGTTGTTCGACTGATATTTTGAAATCTATGATTAATCTTTACATCAATAATACATCAATAATTATTATGCGATTATTTTATAGGAGATTAAAATTTATTATATTTTTTCCGGTAATATTTTTTAGAAAACATCGTGAAATATACAAAACATGCATCGTTCGGAGAAAATGTCGGAAAGGAACCAGACGAAATTCTCGTGAACTGATGATTTGTCATTTAATTATCGATCATGTACCGTGAGTAAAGTAAAATTTACGATCACGGTTAATTCACCAGTGGCCAAAAGTAAGAATAGTAGATAGGAAATGAGGGCGAGTTCAATTTAATGTACCCGGAGTTTCGTTTAATTGTTATTTACGACAAACGATCACGCGATTGTCGAGAGAAAGGAAAGAGACGCCATTTGTCGGCGATAAGTGCGAAAGGGGCAAACTTGGGTAGAGAACGTAAAGACGTACGCTTGATTTAGAGGACTATAATCCGCGACAATTATCACCGCATCGAGGTACGGCTTTAAGTCACGCGGGTTTCTAAATTTATCGCCCTGTCTGATATTAAAGCGTATACGTGAAAGAGAAAAAGTTTGATCTTTTTCGCAATATATAACGCCAAGAAAATAAACGATAATAATCGATTTGCATTCTAGATTCAACTGCGATAAGTAAAACTGATACACTTTCTAGAGACGAGGAAGCCAAACTTATCTATAATATTCATTTACAGCCATTAATCAATGAAAAGTTTTATAGTAACTGAATTTTAATTTTCGCGCAATCTTCAGTCCCGTATCTTTTATAATCTGCAACTATTTTTTCCACTCGCATCGAATTTCTCCCTCCTCGGATTTTTTACTCGGCTAATAAAAATTCTGAATTTACTTACGGTGGGGGGGGGGAGGGAGAAATGACATAAAAAGTGATCGAGACATTCGTAAAGTCGTACGTAGAATTCCTCCGTACGGAAACGCGGTATCGACTTTACGGCACGCACTGTAGAGCCCGCTCGACCCGTTAAAAGAACACACAGTCATGCACTTCGGCAGGCTAAATTCGAAACGGTCTGTACGTTACGGAGATATGCATTTATACCGCATCTATGCGTCTGGCGCGCACGCCGCGCGTTCGACACGCCGTACGTTATGCACCTTGCGCACTCTCGGAGCCTCTCCCCCTCCCCCTCCCCCTCCCTCCCCCCGCGCGCGCATCGGTCCTCGAGACGGAATGCCGGAAGTTTCGATATTTTTATCCAGGCGGCTTTTACGCCGCGACTACAATCCGCCATGCAATAAAATCGGCGACAAGCCGTGAATTCGTGACACGACGCTCGTAAAGGGATTTATGGCGAACGTTCGAGTGACAAGGAGGAAGAGCCGGAAGGGGGAGAGAGAGAGAGAGAGAGACGATACGACGCGCTGACATCGAAAACGTTATCAATGACGAGGGCACGTACGCATTTATAAATTGCGTGATCCGGTGGATAATTTTTACCGCTCAACTATGTTGCAAAAGTCAACGGTTACCGGGTGAAAATAATTTACGAGGAGATATCTAGGTTTTTCAAAATAGCCGAGTTAACACGGGGAATCTGTGAATTCTAGTTGCGTTGTATAAGATAGCCTATCATTATCGTAATTCTTAGGTTTTTCTTAGAGATTTCTAATATGGAATTTCGCATTTAGTATTGCACTAACATTTGAGATCAATTTTAAAAATGTGGATAAAACACGCTACAACTATGCACGTGTATTAATGTTTGAAAAGTTATGTTGGCAGTAAAGAAGCCGCAGAATTATTTTAATATATACGATAAATCAAACAATCTAATATAATTTGCAAAAATGCACTTTTGTATAAATACATTTATTGCGTTATATCTCCGATATAAATTCCGACTTGACAGCTTTATAACTCTATTGTTCTTATCATGCAATCTTGCAGATCATAAGCTGTGCTATGTCAGTAAAGACATTCCAGATAGTATACAGTAATAAACCTATTTGTAGTTACAACTTTCGCATGACACAGAAATAATCAAGCTAGATTAAACCGATGTGTGCTTAAGAGGTATTATCATTATGTTATAGACGTATAACAAAAATATAATATTTTATCAATTTAAATAAAAAAGTGTAACAAGAATATAATATTTTATTAATTTATTTTATTTATATTAAAGGAATCAAACTGATTTGCGAAATTTTAAAATTTATTAATTTGAATTTTCCTCATCGCTCTTTCTTTTAAATTTTTCGAAACATTCTATCCATCTTAATTTAAATTTTGTATAGATGTCATCAAATAGTTTTAATCAAAGTGTATGGGAATATGTGGAAAGCCACTTTAAAATATCTGCATAGCTACATGTTATGAAATATGAGAACGTGGAATATTAAAATTAACACTTATATGAAAATAATTTGGATCGCAATTTTTTAATGATTTTTTTATAGTCAACAGCTTTATAACAGTTTTATAAATTCTGTATTTGACGTAAATGTCAGACATGTTTAAATATGCTTTCAATCTCCAGATAATCAATTACATTTCGCGCATAATAGAGATTATACCATTGCTGAAAATACATTTGTGGTATCTTTTACAATGGAGATGAGTCTGTTTCAATAGCGATACACGAGTGCAATTAATTAATTACTTGATTAATTGATATTAAATAAAGTAGGTGATAACATCAATGATTTGTCATTGTACAATCTTCAAATATTATCATCATAGAATAGTTATTTTTTTCTCTACTGGGAATTATAATCATATACCTAATCATTTTGAAACATCATGTTAATAATTACTTTTTATATAATTTTTTTATTTTTAATAATAATATTTATATGGATTTATTGGCATAATAAAAGATTATTCTAAAAAGTGTTCAAGCAGATTTAGTATAGATTAAATCACATCATAAATTTTGACATTAAAAGATAGAAAAAAAATAAAAAAATAGACAAGAAACTATGTGTATGTGAGTGTGTATGAAAAAAGTATGTGCGGCAAAAGAATGTCTTTTCGATTAATCTCGCGGCGAACTATATTTAAATGCTCGGTTCGTTTTTTCGCGGAAGATCCGATATCGAAGAAGAGAGAATTGATTCAGGATACGATAACGATTGAGAGAAGTGCAAAGATCTTATTGTTAGTGTAAAGCAAGTACGACAAAGGAATTGCATTACAACGCTAAATCTCAGACATCCGAGATACATAATCAACTTTCAATCGGTAGAATTGATTCATCCCTTTCTTATAGGACGTTGACATTTTGATTCGAACAACCATAAAAGATTTGCAGTTAATAAAAGTTAAATTATATATTATATCTTTTGTGGCAAGAATATAAATGTAATATAAAATTCAATTTTTTTACATACAAGAAATATTATAACTTAATTTTCATGTTTGTAATAAAAAATAAATTATGTATAATTTATTGTATATAGATAGCATTAATTAATCAAATTAAATTTGACAGTTCAATACTTTTTTATATATTATAATTGCTTCTTATTATAATTGCTTTATATTATTATTTTATTTTACGATACTTTATTTAGGTACTTTATTTACGATATTTTATTTTATTATATTTTATTTTACTTTACGATATTTTGACAGTGACCATTAATATTTTCACTGTCGTATATGAATTGTATACATAGTTTTTTATGTATATCTTATAAAAAGTATTAACAAACTCACCGTGATGTCTTCGGGCCATCGTAACCTTTTAACGAACGATGTTCTTCCAAATGGCCGAAAAGATTCTTCAATTCAGAGAGCTGCTCGTTCCTTTCTATCATCGAGTCTTTCAGAATCTAAAATACATATAAATATTGCATGTATTATATATACAATATGTATGTGTATAATGTGTGAGAAAAGCTGCAAACTGTATGGATACAATTTTTATATAGATAAATTTCTTTAAATTTTATTTCTCTTTCTCTTTTTTCTTGTACTATTTCTCTAAGAATTTATCCACATATTGGTTCATCTTGGCATATTTAAAAAACGAATAAAAATGTTTACTTAGAATATAATATTTTGTGAATAAATAATAATAAATAAAGCAAAGACTATTGTATGTTTATATATATGTTTATATATGTGCAATATACGCACGAAACTATGAATTTCTTTGTATATAAAGTACATATTAGTTTAAAATTAATATAATCGCAGTTATTATTATAAATATTCCGCGCATATTTTTGCTTAAGATATAAAAATATTTCAGATTATTTTTTCAAATACATTATTTCCATCGATAACACTGTGTTGTTTAATATTATTATTATATGCATAAAAAATATTATTCTGTTACAATTGTGGAAAAGTACTCGAATACTTTTTGTCCACACATTTAAAAAGATGAAGATTTAAACTACGGATTAACTATATACGAATTTAAAGAGTTAGTAAAAAAGATACCGGTTTCGTTTAGAAAGAGAATTGCATCATTCAACCTTAATCGTGCCAATTTTGTCTTCCACTGTACACGGCAAGACTAAAAAAATATAAAAAAATAAAAAAGGACCAGAGAGATGGAAAGGGAAGGAGGAGGGAAAGAAGAAGGAGGAGGGTCGAGTAGCGCGGGAGTAAAAAAAAAAGAAGAAAAAAAATCGGAACCACCGCACTCCTCCTTGAAAATAAAATCGGTTTTCCGATAACTGGTTATTTGCTCGCACAAGTGGCTCGCTGACTGGGCGAGCACGTCGGAAGCGGTTTTCGCGTGTAATATTATCGAGTTATCGGTAGGATAGGAGAGCATTGATCGTGCCGGGTAGAAGTCGGGGGAAATGGACGAACGCGAAGAAAGAGACCGGGGAGGAGGGGGGGTGAAAGGGGGGGAGGGGGAGGAAAAGATCGGTGGATAGAATAGCACGAGGAGAGAGGTAACGTCGAGGGTAGACGAACGTGCATTGCACGAGTACAATATATCCGCGTGATTACAATATGTCGGGGCTCGAGAGACCAATATCAACCTGAAGTCGGCTCAGCCAATGCTGATAATCCCTATTGTTGATGCCATCCACTCGACTGCCTCTCGCGAATGGATACATCTTGTTTCAAAATTTCGAATGGCTCCAGCGTAGCGGACACATCGAGGTGAATGCCGGCATGATAGAAAATTCCTTCTGGAGTATCTCCGTGATTTCGGCAAGGATTTGAAAATTATAGAAACACACGACGTGAAGCTTCCTCGATTTCGAGTGAGTTGCGAGGAATGCGTTGGAAATTATAATGAGAGAATCTATCTTTTCCGCTTTTGACCTCAGAGGTTTCTATATAGTTTTCGAGAACATCTCCGAATAAAATTCTCGTTGGAATCTCTCGACTACTAATAAGAAGTATGCCAACTACGCTCGATTCAATTTAATGTTTATCAGCTGCCCAACATTTTGAATCTCAAAAACTTGTATCTGCACATTAAATGTAAAATTTTCACAAGAGAAATTAAGGCTTCTCAACATGAAGTATATTTTATTACAAAAAAGTGTAACGGAATACTTCATTAGAAAATGAAATAAGCATATATCTTAAATTTCCATAAATCGTCAAAAAAATTTTCATAATTTTTCTATGAAACATAATATGCTTCGAACATGATGTTACAAATTCTAATAAATATATTCGTTTCAATCGTCGTAGAGTTGATTTTAGCTTGAAAATAAATCGAAAATTACGTGCACTGGTCGTTCGAGCATTATCGGCGGTTTCTGTGCTCGAAAACACGTTAGAAGAGAGGTCGGAATGGCGGATATGTGGACGGCGAAAGAAACGAAACCTGTCCTCATCGTTTATGTTCGGTGTCAGCAGGCTAGGCCGCCTTTCACACATCCCACACGAAAGACGACGAACGAAGTCTCTTTCAAAACAATTACACATTCTTCCATCCCAGATTTCTCCCACGTCCTATCGTCTTGTCGCAATATTACCCGTGCGCTTTGCCATTAATGGATTATAGCGAATTACTTGGAGAACTGGCAGGAAAATGTCGCCATAGATGTATTCTCATTTGTCGTGGCTAATTTATAATCTCTCGATCGCTGACGATTACTATATTTGTAAGTCATGGCAAGATACAAATGGTAGACTCTTTAAAGGACTGCATTACGTTCACTCTGATTACATGTATAGTCTATCGAATTTCTTGCACAAATGTATTATATTATCCTTTAATTAAAATTGCGTAATTCTTGATATTAATTATATTCTTTTATAATTTCAGATTTGTTGAAGAGAAGTTCGTCCACCTAAAGTCGTAAGTTTCAGTGCATGTTTTTTAAAATTGCGATTTAAAAATAATATAATTATATATGATATTTATATTATGTTATACTTTGAGGATAATTATTTTTGTCCATTTGTCGCGCTTTAATTCTATTAAAGAATTACCTGAATAATCGTAAGTATATATAATATACTTTACTAGATTAATTCTATTACAAAAATAGATATATAATTTGTTGGTTGAGATTAATTTTTTTGATAACATTTTTATTGCGATTCTCTTTCAAAATCATACGACAAAATTAAATTCGTAGATTAGCAGAAAACCGAAAACAAGTAGCTTAAGCCATCGAGATTATTTTTTCGCCATGATTTTTTCTCGCGTTATTCTCCTACCGATGCTGTCATATATCTCATTCACCTAGAAGCAGCCATCTCGATTTACAATCCCTCCGCTCTCATCTTGGGGCACAGAAGAGCGCATGACAGGTTTCCCATCTTGCGCCTCCACGGAAAACATTCCACATTCCGATAAAAATGATGGACGATGCAATTTGAGCGTCTTTCTTGCGCTAAAGGAATTAAAAGGCTTCATCGTAACTTGCGATGACGTGATACTTTGATACGATAGTACATGTATAATAAAGTGGTTAAAAATGATTTAATGAATTGAGTGGTATTAATGATAGAGACAAAAAAAATTAGTCCCCTTTATTAATAGCAATCGATTAAAGGTAACGATAACGAGAACATGTTTTAAAGCTTACTAAGTTTAAGAACACCCATGTCTTTGCACATCTAAGAAAAATAAAAGAACCTATATGCGGTTTATAAGAACGAAAAAGAACGGTAAACCTATAATTTTCTGGATTTTAATAATTACATTTACCACAAGTAAGTAAGCGCTATAAATAGGGATTCAAATAATTATATATTAATTATTATTATAGACATTGTAATTGAAATGTGAGATTTTGCGCAAAGATAGCTGCGCCTTCCGCATAAACGCGCTGTTTAATCCGCAGCTAATGCTTAAATATACACCCCGATTCTCCGATAAACGATCGATTTAATCGGCTCAATACACAGCTTGAAGATGAAGAAAAAAACTTATCATATGGGATACCCGGATACACTCTCGTATCACCAACCTAAATACAACGTATGAAAAATAATTTTGAGACTGATTTAAAACATCGAGTGTGCGTTTCTTATGTCGAACATGATTAATATCGATATTTAATTTTGAGACCTGCCTATCGTTACAACAGCGATTAATTCGATCTTTTTCCAATCCAAACGCGCGATACGCCGATCCTGCGATCGAGTATGATACTTATTGGCGAATATACGGCCTGATAAAACGTTATGCATTTGACTTTGTAATCGTTTTTTTTTTTTTTTTTTTTTCGAAGGAGATTGCCTGCGCCAAGAGGCGTGTTCAATTAATCGCGGTGACAGAGACTACAATATTAATTAACGGGCCGAAGATGCAATACGTGCGCGAACGCATTCGATTTGCAACTTTAATCCTCAACTACTTATTATCTCATTGCCTCACGCATATCTCGAATCATTATTCGGCAAATTGAACACTTTACGCATCTTTTTGCGAAAAAACTATCGCGATTCGAACGCGTTAGACGTAAAAAGAGTTACATTCTCCGAATTTCTTTTCATATTTATTTTGAATATTATTCGCTGACTGAATATTATTTTGAATATTATTATTATTATAAGTTTATCTTATTTTAAAACGCGGTTGTTATCGATGAAAGATACGACAGCATTTATCAAAGTTCGCGCATTATAGCAATTATTTTTGAATTTTAAAATATGAACATTTGATATGTCCAGATAGAATAAACTGCCCATTTCAAATTTTAAGAATTTTCTTTCATCAAAGAAAGATGCAAAGATTTTATAATAATAATATTGTAGCTTCCACACAATCCTATTGTAAGATAAAATTATCCTTTGACATTTTAATAAATAAAAAAATGGCGAAATACATTACAACAATTAGTAAATTAGGCAGGCAAAAAATCGATGTGCCAACTCCTTTTTTAAATATATAAAAATTACTATTGATTAAAGAAGTAATTTTCAAACGTTCTCTTATTATTAATTTACTCATTTTTATTCGCGATATTCATTCTCACGATTCTTTCCATTCACGAATTTTGAATCATCGAGCCCCATCGACCTCATCCACATGCTGTCTTGTTAGTGTCGTTTAAATTTTACAGCAGAATAATATCCACCTGTCCGGACTACGGCGGAAACTGCCTGAGATTTCCCGAATACGTATCCGTATATTTCTGTCCGTTGTGCCGCAGTATGCACGTAGGCGCCAAAGTGGATGCGCGCATAAATTCGCTCGCGGTACGTTAAAAGATGTGAAGTGATTTCGAGCGTGCGCCGCATAACAGGGCGAGAAAAAGGTACGTCCTTCGCGAGTTACATCCGAGTAAACGCGCGCACGCGAGACCGCCGTCTCCCCTCGCTCGTGTATATATGCGAAAAATATACTCGGGCAAATATTGAAACTAAATTCACGCGTCGTTCCTTTTTTCTATTC